GAGGGAATTTTAAACTATCCATTCAGAGTGGGATATGAAAAAGACAAGGTACCTTAAGAAAAAGCCAAACACACCCACACACCCTAACAATGAATGCACTTTATATCACAGGAAAAGTTATGGGTCCATTATAACACCAAATTATGGTGGTTATTTTCTTACAAAGAACAAATGATTCATTGCTAGATAAACACAATACCCACAAGCCAATCTAGAGCCTTCCCCATTCCCAACCTTCCTCTAACAAGCTTCTTTCTTTCAAATGATACAATATTAGTCTGTTAGGAATTTACAGTCTGAAAAAAGAGCTATTATTTTCTGAAGACTAAACAAGATTTTTTCATCAATTACCAAAGGAACTATCCCATAAGGGAAGTAATTTCTTGTCTACCAATTCAGTCTCACCTAGGACCTTTACTGGTTTAGGAGGCACTCCTGGCTGCACCTTTATTTAGAGCCTTCAGAGGGAATTTATCTAAGTAAGAAATTTGGGATTTGGCCCTGCAACAATCTGGGTCTTTTATTTTATGTCATTATAAACAGTGTCATGATATCTGAGATAATTTTAACTGCATGGATAAAATAACAGGCAATCTATGATCCAAACCCTCTATGCATTTATTTAATAAAAGTTCATGGTATAAATTGAGAGAGAAATTGATTCTTCGTAAATCAAATTCTTAGGACGGTTTGGGGTTTGTTCCAACGGTACGCATTTTCTATAGATAAACAAAAAGCAATTATAGGGAAAAAATACTGGCAATGAAATGTGATAATTCTATATGCAACTCTTCTGCAAGACATCACCAATAGCAGGAAGAGCTGAGTTAACTTGTCTGCAGGGGTCCTCCTAAAAACTTAAAAAAACAACAAATATTCAAACCTTGACTCAGAAACATAGGAAAACAACACACTTTATGACAAAATACAGGTCCCTGAGGGGCAGTTTTTCTTCCTTGTCCAAATCAAATCCATAGCATGGCGGAATGGGAAGAAAAATTAGTAGTTTAGAACACTGTCTGCAATGTTATGACCTGCCTATGGAAGACACAGTCTTTAAGTAGAAATGATAAGATGTCTCTAACCCACCCTGGTACCTTTCTGAACTAGAGCTGCTGCAAGGGCTAAAATTCATGCTAAGTTGTCCATGATTTTTTTTATACCCCTTCCATACATCCTCTGTCCTTATAAAAATTCCTTTATGTCCTCCAGTGGTTGTAAGACAATTTGTGGCCATTAATTTCTGCCCTTGGAAAACGCCCGCTACTAGGTCTAGGGATGATATCCAAGAGGGAAAATCCATCAAAAAAAAAAAAAAAATCAATTTTCACAGAAGAAAAGAGAATTACATCTTAAAAAATGCCTGATCAGCAATTTAATCACCTCAGAACTAACAAGGCATGTGTGCATTTTATTAGTGCAATTTATATCATTCCTCTAATGAAAATGCATTTAAAATCATGCCCAGCAAATGGGAGACAATGTGTGTGTTTTTCTGTTTGTGGAGTTTATATTACCATCACAAGCACTAGTCCTAAACTCGCAACTGCTACACACCCAAATCTCCTGTTAGCTCCAAACGGGAGTTTTAATTTTGCATAAAACAAGGACTAGGACCCAGAATGAAAAAAGAACTATTTTATTCGTAAAATACTGCCTTCAGCAGGGCAGCTACTGAATTTACTTGAATCCAAGACAATACTGAATTTAAAATAACCCCCCTCCAAAACTAGATTCTATACAGGTTAAATTATAAATCTGTTATAATTGTCCACGTATAGAATCTAATTAGTGGAAAGTCATCTTAAATTCATTTCCTCCTCTCCCCACCCCACATTGCTACGATGGGCAAAGCAGCTGCAGGGGATAAGGGGCCATACCCCTACCTCTTGCTCCCTTGCCCACTCTGTGCCTGCCCCTGCATCATGCACACTCCTGCCACATGCTTCTCAGCTGCAGGCTGGGGCTGGGACCGTGCTGGGCTCTTTCTGGCGGGGGCTGGGATAGACTGTGCTCGAGGCAGGCAGTGGCAGCACTGGGAGGAAGGGTTGGGGGGGCTACAGCTAAATTTGGGCTGGCTGCAGCTCCCCGCATAACCCCCTCCCAGGCCGCCACTGCCCATCCCGATGACAGCTCAGGACAGCCCCCCCTGGCAAGAGCCTGGTACGGCCCTGGCCCCAGCCCACAGCTGCAGCCCCCCTTCCCTGCACCGCCCCGAGCAGATCTGGGGACACATGCGCCCCATGCCCTCCCAGGGCGCGCGCAGCAGTGGGAGATGCCCCACTCCACACTCACAGATGAGCCACAGCTCCATCCCATGCCCCAACCCCAGCCGTAGCTTCACACCCTCCCTCACTGCAGGGGGCATTGCTCTGCACCAACACCACCCCCTTCCTTCCTTTCCTCCTCCTCTTCCACCATACGGGGCTGCACGCATGCACGGGCATTTATTGGCCAAATTATCGGCCACATCAGGTCAATGTGATAGTCAATTTTCTTTATGGTGGTGCTGATCCAATATCAGACCAATCCATTGGTGCACCTCTATTTATTAGTACAGAGTACCAGGAGTTAAGCAGCTGAAATTATGGGTGAATCAAACCCCAGCATGTGAAAGTCTGCAGCATGGCACCATAGGTAGAAAGACATACTAAACCAGGGGTGGGCAATTAATTATTTTGAGTGGAGGGCTGCTTACAGAGTTTTGGTGATCTGTTGAGGTCCACATGGGTAGCCCCACCCCTGGACAGTTGTCCCACTGCCAGTTGCCATATTGGGACCGGAAGTCCTGCCCCCTAACCCCTGATCTTTGCCACCGGAAGTCCCTCCCTGTGCCCTGGAAGTACTCCTTTTGTGAGGGAGGGTGCTGCAATCTTGAAATCAGAAACCCCCACAAGTAATGTACAAAAAAAAATAAACATCTACTATAACTTATTTGAATTTTATTTTAATATATTTTTGTATTGAGTTGTGTTTGCGAAGTGTATCTAGAGGTGATTGCATAAGAGCTCAAAATAAAGTCCTACAGTATATTGTGTGTGAGCAGCAGGCGGGTATATGTGGGGGGTGTGCATGTGGTAGGGTATGGATATGGTGGGTGGGGGAGAGCAAGAGACACGCACACACACACAAACACACGGGCCGGACTACCAGCTCCATTGCGTGCAGCTCTCAATAACTGCACGCGAGTCTTACGTGATGCAGACAAGCAGACGCTGTGCCCAAGCTCCATGCTCCTGCCGCCCCGCCCTGGGTCCCTGCCAGCCCCAGGGCACCAGCACGGGGGCTGCACTCCTGGCCACTGCCATGACTCCCCCGACGTTTCTCAGCTTTCTCTCCCACACACCCACCTGCCACTGTTCCCCAGCTGCCACCACCACCACTGTCACTCTCCCCGCCGCTTTACTTTCCATTCCCCACCCCTCCCCACCACAAGCCCCATGACTGACCCACCACTCTCAGCTGCTTTCCATGATCCCCCTGCTGCTGTCCCCGCTGCTTCCCATGGACCCTCTGCCGCTCCCCACAACGCCACTGCTTAACACAGCCTCCCCGCGCTGCAACTGCTTCCAGTGAGCCCCACCCCACAACTGCTCCTTGTGCCACTGTCACTTCCCTCTGCCCCCCTCCCCTCCTGCCTGGCCAGCACCATGCAGCTCCTGACTGCTGGCTGTATCATAAAGGCTTCCTTTCCACTCAGAGGGAAGGAGACACAGAACAGCCCCAGGGGCACAAAGCCAGAAGCCACAGAGGCTTCCGGTTGTGAGCTGAGGGTGGGAGGGGGTGGGGGGGCTAAGGGCAGGGGGGAGCCGGAAGGGCAGGGTGGAGCTGGGCAGGCCTAGCTGCTCAGCCACTGAATCCTGCCACCAGCTCCCACTGGGTCCTGTTGCTGCTGGCACCAGTCTTATTTGACAGGCAGCCAGGGGCAAATAACAATTAATTTTATACAATTTTTAGGGGCCCTGCAGGCTGGATAGAATATCTTGGCAAGCCGGATTCAACTCGCAGGCCATATTTTGCGTGCCCCTGTACTAAACATTTCTTGAATTGCTCCATAGCAGAAGGGCAGGACTGCAGCACTCCCCAGCAGGCAGAACAGTTTCATTTCCAGAGCTAGGAAGACCCAGCCAAATCATGTAAGCCAGTTATGCAAAAATGATAGGCTTCTCTCATGTCCCCCAAAACTGGCTCCCTCAAAATTATCACCTGGCAATTCAGCTGAAAGGTGTTAACTTCCCTCAGGTGTTACCCCTAGATAGAAAGGCTTAAGTAAGCATGGCCTCACTGAAGTAAGTAAGCATGGCCTCATGCTGGACTTGCTCTGAAATGTATTGCTTGTGTACAGAAAATGAAAAAGGTCTGTCCTTTCCTCCACTCCACTCACCATTACGCTTCCCTGCCTTTCCGCTATGAGAAGCCCTGGGCTTGTGGAAGGATGGTGGAGGAAACAGTGTTAAAGGGCAGAAAACCATGCCAGATGCAGCTAACCCCTCTTCTGCATATGGAATCAGGGATATGATCTTCTGCATCTGTATGAATGATTAGATTGCACTACAGAACTGAAATATGAGAACATAATGCAACTATAAAATGGCAGCTCTTCAATTTCAATGAAGAATTTATGTGGAGAAATTCCTTAATGACTCACTGAGCTTAAGGTCACTTCCTAATTTGCAGGCTAAATTCCATGGACATCTAGTACCTACTCACTCATTCTCACATGCATGCATGCACACACACACACACTCCTAACAGTTTGCACAGACATAATCTTATTCTGGTTCATGCCTGAATGGCAGAGCTAAACAGAAGCACATTTATACAAGTCAAATAACCTACTGCTACATAAAATGCTGAATGCGCTGGGCAGTTTAAGGTACATAGTTATTTCGTGGCTGGGAAGTTCCAGAATTATTAATGTCTGGCAAGACAGTACAAATATACAATGAATATGTTTTAAATAGCAAGGCAATAAGTAGGGCACGTGCTGTGCTACTCACCTCTGCACGAAATGCCTTGGCTGTCAATAACTTGTTTGCAGATATTACAGGTTTTGGGTTTCTTAAAGATCTTATTTCTGAAAGTGTGAGAACTCAAAACTACTTCTTCAGGCTGGAACAGAGGGGAAAAAAAAATCAGAGCTTTTACCAAGTGTTGAATGCTACTTTACAAATGTAATAAATAAAATACCTAAGTGGTCATCCAAAGTAAAAATCATACATTTATTCTGTTAAAGCACCCTGCACATAGTACAACATGAATTGCAAAATGTGGCATTTGGATCATTATAGTAGAAATTTCTATCGTTCAATTTTATATGGGGCCACTAAAAAGTCATCTAAGTCAGGCAAAAAAGCAATCTACTAACCTAATTCCACATTTACACAAGAAAGCTGCACTGCTTTAATTTAACTGATGTGAAATCAAACAATTAAATATTAAAAAATGCTATACTGGCCATTTAAACTAATATAGTTCAGCTGGTACAGAAGACTGTTCAGACAGTCTTATTTCTATTTAAGAGTAGCCAAGTCAAAAGGCATCTGGCTTAAACCAAAAATAAAAGTGTTCACACAGCTTTGCCCAAAGCTTTCACTACATTTAAAAAAAAAATCCCACTAAACTTAAACTAAACTGATGTGATTATTTTGTGCAGATAGGCAACTAGAATTATTTCCAAAGAATGTTGCATGATAATTGAAACAATATACTTAAAATGCCCAGACCACACATGGGATCTTCCCAAACAAACGGAGAGATGATTAGAAAATTTCCTGACATCTCTATCATGTAGTTTCTCCTACCTAGAGAGTATGCAGATATAGTAGTTATGAAACCTAATAGAATCCTAACAGAGACAGATAACTCTCCAGATTTCCTCCCAAGGTATAACTACATGAAGTTCTCCTAGCACACCTTTAAGAAGCATCTATTAACCATCTCAAGCCATTTTTTAAATTATTAAAAAATAATTATCTTCCGGATTCTCCTTGTACATTACTGTTATACACTTTTACGGACATATGTTTTACATAATGTAAATTTCTCTTTTCCTGGATAAGGCCAGGTTCAAATTTAAATACTAAGCATAGTAAAAAAGTTCAGTTATCAGTAAAAAGTTTGCAAATTATCAGTTAAAAAAAAAATATTGGGTTAGCAATCCTGCTTGACTACAGCAGTGGTTTTATACCTGGATGCCCCCACTCCAAGGGTCCCTCTTCACCCCCAAACCATGCTCCCCCTCCCCCCCCCCCACCCCCCTCAGCCTCATCCCTGCTGGCCCTGCCTTGCCCTCCCATCCCAGCACAGAACCACAAAGAAGAATTACTGTTTGCCTAAATAGGAAGTGAGAAGTGTTACCAACAGATAAAGAAGCAGTACGTGGTTGGGGTGGGAGAGGACTACAGACTACAAAGTCCTAAGAGAATGCTCCAGGAACACTCTACTCAGACACTGTTCCGCTCTGTCCTCCAACACCCAGCCTTGCTCAGACATAGAACTTCAATCAAGCTCTAGCTGTTTAGTGCTTTTACAGACAGCTCAATTTTTCCTACAGACTTTGCAGGCAGGCATTTTTAGGTTTGTTTGTTTGTTTTTTTATGGACAGTTGGCAAACAAGCACAAGTCATAATAGCCCATGGAGGACTCCTGGGACAGATTTTTGCTTTTTAATAATACCTTCCTCTCTTTTTTTTATTGGAAGTAGTTGATAGGTAAAATGGGGCTGTGGAGGACCAGGGCATTGTTGTAGTAGAAAGGAGACTTCTGCAAGACCTCCCAAGGACAGCCATAATTTGAATTTTCCTGGTCTCCTGAGGAAGTATGTTCTATATACCACTGGCCTCAGGCGGGAAAGCCAGCCTCTGGTCATCCAGCAGGCAAATCGAGGGCCTGCCAGCACCCCTGGGAGGACTGAGGGGGCTGTACCAGAGTCCTCCCGGGAGTGTGGTCTCCTAATCTGCCTGCCGGATGACAGGAGGCGGGTGCTGCTGGCTGGGACCAGCGCTGAAGCCAGTAAGCCTGGCTTCAAAACTCAAAACGGTTCGAGTTCCCATGTTTAATTTTCAAGCTGTTTCAAAGGCTTTTGTTTCGTTTCAATTTTACTGTTTCAAGCTCGAAATGCATTGAAACAGGTTCAAAACGAAACACCAGGTAAAATTTTGCACAGCCCTAGTGCTTTCTGCCTCTCAGACTTTTCATGTAGGCTCAGTCTTAAATACTTAAAGCAGTTTAAGCACAGAAGTAGAACCATATTAATCCAACATAGTTTTTGCTCACTTCCTGCCTGATGTCACAGAAACTTGATTATTGCTCCCCCTACTTTCTTTAAACAACTCACAAAATGATGCTTCAATTTCCTGGGATTCTGCCTGTGCATTCTTGTGCTCTCCAGGGTTGCTTGAAAGCTACTGTTTGAAGCAAGGATTTCTCTCTCTCTTTTAGGAAAAAATGAACTAACAATAACACTCTCCTCACTTTCCTGCTCCCAGGCTGCTACCACAAACACTATTGCTGGGGCAGCAACTCTTCAGATGGGAGAGGCTGAAACGATTAGTAATTACAGTTACAAAAGCATAAACCCCCGTCTCAAAGTTCTTCTTTTCCCTGCTCTCCCTTCAATTTTTATGAGCCAAGGAAATACCCTATGACCTCTTCATATGGGAAGCCCCATAGAAAAGTTCAATTAAATGATGACTAAAAGAGCTCTTTATGATGAGGTAGGGTCCCTAATTACAAAAACTTTGCAGAGGCAAGGCACATATCTATTTCTGTGGAGTAGCATCAAACTAAATCAAATGGCAAAGAGAAAGAAAAGTCGGCCAAGGGAAATGCCAGAGAACTCATCTCCCCTAGCCTCTCTGTTATGAATTGTTTTTACTTTTGTCACTTAAAAAAAAAAATCCTCACCGGTATTTATTTTTTAAATTCTACATGGTACAATCCCATAAAGTAACCAGTTACTTACAACCACAACAGAAAATCGAGGAGAAAAAAATCCCATCATGGTGATTTTTGCTCAACTCAAATGGAATTTCAAAATGTAGATATAACAATGACAGGAAATTACACTAACAAACCCGAAGGGTTTTTATTTGTGCCTCAAAATTCTTTAGAAAGTTTTCCCACAAGGGAATACATTCCCAATTTTCTTCTCTAAATCAGCATGTCATGTTCACTTCAGATTTCATTATCAGAAAAAAAGGTTAATTTTACAGTGTGTACATAGGCCAAGTAATGAGATGCTATCTACCAGTAATATAAAATGGATTTTAGAACAGACGCAATTTGAGCAGCTTTTTTAATGGCTATATCAAAATTCTTACTCACAATGCTCCTTTACAACAGAGCACAGTGGGCAAACTGGATAATACTTTCTGAAATAGGAAGCAAAACAAAGCACACAGATCTTCTGTTAATTTTGAATGTGGCTTATCTGTTAGAAAGTATGCTGCTGGCACATGATTCAAAAACACACACAGTGTTTGACCTTACTGCTTTTAACACAAGCCTACGTGAATCTGGCCATATGACATGAGTTGCTGCTTTTATAAAGATTAGCAGAAACTTTATATATAGTGAAGACTATTTTTTCTCTCAGTATCTTTGATTATTCCCATAGCTCTACAGGGAGGATCAATTCTCGTGACAATGCCTACCACTTAATAAAATGACATGGCAGAAAATGTGACAAGACTGTCTCTGCTAGAAGCCACTCATTGTAATGTGACATAAAATGGTGTCATCCAACCAGATGATATTAAAATGCAAAAAGGAGACAAACAACAAACAAGCACAACCAAGGGAAAAAATACAAGGATTTTCAGTGGAAACCTGCCTTGGAAAATTACCATTTAAACAACATTTTAAAAGTTCTCCTTTTCAAACAACTCATGGAAAATCAGGAATATTTGTTCCTGTTATTTTTACTGCACTTGGAGCTGGGATTCCAAAGCATCAGGCACTATGCTAAACACCAGAGATGAACTGGCACCTGGAGCAAGCTGCTGTTGCTGCAGGGGTTAATAGAGAACCGGATGCTGATCAGTGCACGGAGTGGTCATTTCAAGCCAAAATTTGGTGATGGAAAGCCAACAGGAGGGTTAACATTTCCAACTTCTGCCCACTGCCCCCCCACCTCCTCCCCAGGAACAGCTTCCCTCTATCCAGAGCCCACCCCATGGCTGCTGCTTTGCCCTCCTAGCCATTTTGTGCCTGCCCGCCAGAGCTGCTGCAAGGAAGGTAAAAGGTATAGTTATGAAGAAGGAAAGATAAAGCACTTCCTGCCCCCCCACCCCTCCTTTAAGCAGCACCTGGGACACTTGTCCTGTTCACCCACCTGTAGGTACACTACTGCCAAACACAGAACAGAAAGAGTATATGGGAACAGGGAACTGCTGGAGCCCAAGAAAGGAAGTTCACAGGTATGGATCAGTGAACTGAACTGCAGAGCACCACACAGAAGGTCACTGCGTGAGAAAAAGAAACCAGGTTCCCTAACCTACCACCCAGTGCCCTACTCACACAAGGTCATTACCTCCCAGCTGAAGAGCCTTGCAGGCAAGGCTGACAACAAGCTTTTCAATGTCAATGTGCATTTGTGTGGTTAGCAGATGAATGCGAGTCCTCCCCAGTCTTTCACCCCACATTCTTTGAGACTGAATTTCATATACAGATCACAGGCAGTCCACTGCACAGTTTTATGAGTCCACAGGAGCTAATGACTATTCTTCTGAGTAGTGTGGAACTGCAATCTAGCAGTTTTCAGACCACTTTCAAACAATGTTTTCAGACCACTATAAAATATGTGTGGCCTGGCTTTTATTCTTGACATTAAAAACGTATCTAGTATGAAGTAAGTGCTTACACGTGGGCTTATTCATTTTTTGACAATTTAAAAATGAGATGTCAGCTATTAAATTAGTAATCACCAATGGAGAAGTGCTTCAACAATTAAAAAGGGGGGGGGGGGAACCCCTTCTAAACACCCAGATCTTTAGTTTTCATCCAGACTCTAATCCCACATCTCCAACTACAGCCTTGTTTCCTCAACCCCAAGGCTCCAGAACTGAACTATGCTCTCCATAGTTTTATTATATTGACTCTCATTCCTA